AGGACAAACCTACTGGTCAATCAAACGATTACAGAGAGAGCACCGCCTTGGCAGAAAATATTTCAATGTCCACACGAGCAAATGCCAGGAAAGCGAGCTGTCAGGGCGTTCCTGCTCCTTCTAAGAACGGTTCTGGAATCAGTTGTGAACCATCAGAACAAAAAGTGTTTGAATGCTTGTGCAAAGATTACGACTGTTCCGTCTCTTTTTCAGTCATAGCCAAGCGAACCGATCTGTTTCCGAGCGAATTTAAAGACATCGAATCTTGGTTTCGAAGAAAGAAGGGCAGCTTTCGGTTGACAGAAAACGATAGAGGAACTATCCTACAAGTAGATGCTCTCTCTGCAAAAGCCCGGCTCTGCTTCAGTTACAATAACGTCTCAGGGACGTGCAAGAAAGCAAGCTGCTCGTACCTACATGTCTGTAGAGATTACGTCACCGATTCCTGTCGTGATGGAGCAACATGCATGCGGAATCACTACTTCCACAATGAGAAGGACAAAGCTTTGCTGTCGAGGATCAAGCTTGATCAATTAACAGACAAGCAACTCAGTCGGCTAGTACGTTCCTCAGCACCTCTGGTATGTGTCGAATACAACCATGGTATATGCGATCGTGGAGATGATTGCCCTAGAATTCACATGTGTAGTGACCACTTAAAAAAGTGCCACACAGAAGGATATGACTGCGAGTTAGATCATGAATCTGCCATGACCTCTAACCACACCCAAACAATTCTTGAACGTTACCACATGGAGCACATGAAGTCAGATGTCGTGAAGAGGATTGTACTAGTTTATGATGACTCAACTAAGGTCAAAGAAGCAGGTTAGTCTGTATTCTATAATTCTGCATTTTGTTTGTTTGCTGCAATTCAATTCTGCAAATTACGTTTTTCTTTCGATTGATTGTAATTGTCATTTTCTATCTGCCGAGTCGTGGATGTAATTAGCCAAATCAGTTTCAAGAGCAGGGTGATTAAAACCCTTCTCATTTCGCTTAGAAGAGATTTTAGATTATGTTTTCTTTTTAAGTTCATTGTCAACTAACTAGCCATTAGGATGGATGAATTTTTTAGATGAATAATGTACACATCTTTACTGACATTAACTAACCATTCATTTTAGCTATTTCCTTATATCATTTAGTGTTACTTTGAATTTTCCAAGAATTCGAGGATACATATAATAATAATAATAATAATAAAAATAATGATGATGATGATGATGATGATGGTGACTTTATTATCGTGTCAATTACATCTAGCAGTGGAGAATCCCCACTGCTAATAGGGGACACCTAACTAGAACTATCTAAAAAACTGATTAATATACAGAAAAGTCCTATAAAATATAAGAGAAATTAAAATTATGAGTTACAAAGATGGCAGTCACTACATCCATCTAGGATGTTGCCTAGATCTATCCTCCCTACGTGGGTCTTAAACGTCTTGAGATTTATCGCCGATTTTTCTTATTTGTTAGTTTGCTCCATACAGGCAAGACTCCTTTTAAACGATAATTTCATTTGAGTTCTTCACATCTCTTGTTGGCACTATATTGAAATTTAAGGGAGAAGTGAGATAGTGATCACTCTTGGGAACCGGAAGTTACATACCTATACTCAAAGTGAACGCTAAGTACATTTGTTGCAAGTGTTAACTTTATAATGTACTTGTGTTAATAGGTCATGTTCATCACTATAAGCCAGATACACCCATCTGCTCAGATTTCATTCTCGGTAAATGCAAGAAAGGCTTCAAATGTCCAGGACATCACTGCTCTTTGGCTTTCCACTGGCAATACAAACTTCCACATGAGGAATGGAAGAGCTTCAATGAGACGGACAACGAGAAGCTGGAGAAATTCTACTGTGACGTGACGCTCGAGAACTGCTCAGCTACAGGCTTTCAGATTTCTCTTGAAAGGTATGATGTGTTGGTTTAAGCACAATAGACCATTAGAGTATTAAATGAGCTGGAGGGTTGTGACCAGGTTTAAGATAGCTGTGTGTAAGTTTTAACAGCGGTCGTTTCTAGCGTATATTATACTTATATTGTACTAGTGGTAGAATGTAAGTCTAGTAGTACAATAAAATTAGGGTTATGGAATGAACCATATACGTTCAACCGAATTTCTAGTCAGTACGTGGAAAAACGTAAAGACAATGTTTGTGCGCAATACTTATGCCGTTTTATAAACATCTCGGAAAAGCGCAAATTGGTTTTATTTGCAATCTATGAAATACTCGTTCATACGGTTCCTTTTTTCCAGCGTCTGCGCGCAGTGGAGCTCAGGTACCTGGAATTTCTTTATATTCACTTTTATGTTTAACTTCCATTTTAAAGCGATGGCTTCCTATTGCTAGATGAAGGATATGACGTGAACTTTCTGCTTGATAATAAGATGATGATTATACAGAAAGATTTTGACGTCATGGCCAACATAAGGCGACTCTCCTCTGAGTCGTACGCCAGCAATCCTGCGAACCCTGTGGCTACTGCGTGGACCTGGTACTGGCAGAATGAGAGTGGAATCTGGCTAGAGTACGATGTGGACCACTTGGTGAGTTAATTTGCATAATCAAGTGTATCAGAGATGAACGTTTCTTTGGGCCCTTTATCATGATTGGTTAAAAATGCGCGTGCTGGAAACTGTTGGCATCCAAGTGGCCCATCAGGCCGGAGCTTATCCCAGTTTCTGTAGTATGAAGCGACTAGCAGTATTTCTACTCTCCCCTGGATAGGATGCTAGTCCATCGCAGGGTTACCCGCAGCATTGAATTCACCGGTGCCATTTATACAAGCGGGTGGAGAGAGGCACTGTGAGAATATAATGTCTTGGCCAAGAATACAACACAGTGTCCCTGGCCAGGGCTCGAACCCGGGAGGCTCGATCCGGAGTTGAGCGCACTAACCACGACGCCACCGCGCCTCCTGCCTCAAGGCATAGTTTGGTGTTATTTCAAAGCAGTTTCCCTCTGTCGGTCCATGTACTATAATCATGCAAAACCTATGGTTGGAAATACTTTTTTGCAATTCATTCGAAAAGACACAACCAGATCTGAATTTTATTTTGTTGTTTATTTCACGTGCTATGCGCCATAGTTTAAGACATTGTTGTGAGCTTTATGTAATATTTTGTCTCTGCAGGACAGGGATTTGCAGAAACCAATCGAGGAAGCATTCTTAAGCAAAGCAAACTGCTTCAGTTTTAAAATTTCAGACCAAGATTACAGATTGTATTTTTGTTCAACAACTGAGATGCACCAGGAAAACGTGAGGTATGGAACTAGAAAGGAAGTGAGGAGAAGACCGGCAGATTTTAGATCAAGAGCGGACATTCAACAACTTAAAAGGTTTGTGCAGAATACTGATTTTTAGTGATGAATAACGTAAACTCCCACCTGTATTGCTCATTACAAGCGGGACCGAAATCCAAATGCCTGTGATCACAAGCATGTGATCACTACTTTTTAAATTTAAAAATTAAATTTTAAATTTCAATTCTTAATTTTTCAGAATGTTTAATATCGGAGAATATTCTTTGTATGGGAATTTAGTTTCCCCCAATTATTCTCCAATCATGTACTTTTTGTAATTTCTGTGATTTATTTACTGGTACTAGCATGACAAAGTATTATTAAACTTAAACTTAAACTTAAACTTAAACTACGATCGCCGCTATCATTGCCGTCGATCTAATAAAAGGCTGAGCGATCTGTACGACTACCAGTTTCCGACCACGATCGCTACAGAATAATAAAAAAATGCCTAATAAGACCTGGATCAAATAACGACGCACTGANTATGTCTCTGGCTCGCAAAGAAAAGCGCTGGTCTCGCCGTCTCGCAAAGTCTCGCATTTACCATTTACCACCCCTAGCAGGTTAAGAAGCTAGAGAAAGAAGAATTCTCAAAATTTGAAGGAACTACAGTCTAACCCCTATTAAGCGGCCACCTATCAAGCAGCCACCCCTATTAGGCGGCCAGTAATCAAAGTCCTGATGAGTACTTTTCTATTGTTTTTACCTGTTTTAAGCGGCCAACCCCTTTTAAGCGGCCACTAGCCATTTCCCCGAGGGTGGCTGTTTAATAAGTGTAGAAGTGAATAAAAAAGATAAAGTCTGCATACGAGCCAAGTGGCTCATTAGGCCGGAGCTTATTCCGGTTTCAAACGAACTGTATTCGGAACCGTAATTCATTGGAGAGCAATTATGCATAATACTTGCACTGAACATTAAACTTCCTTAGACAAAAGGGGATCTCAGAGCTGTTATTGATTTGTAAACAATCTAAATTACAGTAAAACAATACATTGTACCTTGCAGTACGAGCTTTTGGTCGCACCTTATACGATATAAAAGAATATGATAATAAAAAAACATATATAGTAGCTTGTTTAAGGTGGATACGGCGTCCTGATTAATTTTGCGTTCTCTGTTTGCAGGAAAAAGGAGAACATGTTGGCGGTCAAGACTGGGGGCCAAAAGCGAATCTTTCTGAACGAGAAAAGATTGTTTCATGGGACTAGCCCTGAAACCGTGGAGGCCATCTGTAAACAGAACTTTGATTGGCGCTTGCACGGAAAGAACGCGACGGTGTATGGGGAGGGAAGCTACTTCGCTTTGAATGCCTCTTACAGCGACGCTTACGCCAAGGAAGACATGAATTCTTGTCGATTCATGTTCGTGGCCAAAGTCCTTGTTGGTTCTTATACTAAGGGCCACTCCAGTTATCGAAGACCGCCACAGAAAGATCCTTCAAACCCAGCGAGCGATCTGTACGACTCCTGTGTGGATGACAAATCAAATCCAACCATTTTCGTTGTTTTCGATACCGATCAGTTCTACCCTGAGTACATAATCAAGTACTCACATGAGAGTGCTTGGTATTCAGTAGCATACCAAGCAGCCCACGGTAGCTATCAGCAGCCAGTGGGTAGAAAGCCAGTGCCAAAGCCGAGTCTTCCTAAAGCAGCACCATTGCAATCCAGAGCTTCTCAGTCGCACACCGCCAGTACCGCGGCCATGTCAAGAAACTCGAGTACGTCGGTATATTCTAGCAGATCTGGTGTATCTGTTGGTTATTCCACAGGCTCGAATGCTAGTGGAGTATCATCATACAGCACAACAGGTGGATCCACCTCTGGTTCATCGAGTGGTTATAATACTTCTTCAGCTTCAAACGCCGCTAGCACGCGACACCAAAGCACGGCAACCAGATCTTA